ATTTAAGGCTATCGTTCTTCAGGATCACCTTGTATATCTTCCTTTGTCCAGGATCAGATGGGATCCGATAGAATTGGACTTCAGGGGGTTTATTCCTGTGAGAAACGTGACACTTAGGAACACAACAGTGATACTTCGGCATGGCGATTCGATCTTGTTGTCCCTTCAAGGCATCCCATAAGCCTTTTCGGGAAGAGTCGGACCCAGTTTTCCAACTCGTTTTTAAAGTGGAGAATTGTTGTTTAGTGTCTTAAGAACAAAACATCGCACGATCTTCTCGTATAATTCGGAATTTATAGATACTCGTGATGAAAGTTCTCAAATTGGACTCGCAAAACATCCGAATTGTACTCGAGGTCGCACATGTAGTCTATTGTCTGTACTCAATTCGAACATGGAATGGCGTCAGCATACGAACCAAACTTAAGTGGAACCACGAGCGCAGCCAGCTTATTGGTCTGTCCTCTTATGGAAAATGAAAAATAGCCAATCAGCGCGCGAGAAATTGACAATTTTTGGTAAAATCCGGGTTGCATTGGTGAGAGGCGAGCGCTCTCACTGTTACGCCAAACATGCTTCAAACTGCACCAAGGGAGAAAATGAGGAATTTTTAATGCTAAAAATAACGTCGTACCAGATTTCTTCAGAAAATGATACGATAAAAGATAGAGTTTTATAGATGACTTGATGACACTCTTCTGCTCATCTGTTCGAAATATGTCGTTCACTTGCAGTAGTGCACTCGCCTCTCATCTCTGGGTATCCGATTCGATTACCGGACTACGCAACGCACGTGAGTAGAGTTTGCTAGGTTTGTCACTTGATTTGAGGGTTTTTCTCCGGGTTCTCCGGTTTCTCTCCCTCCGCAAAACGAATCTCGTCAAAATTCCGGTCCACTGATTTCGATCTGTGAGTCAGGCCTGCCCTGACTTAGATCAGCCCAGATGTTTTTTCAGAGATTGATCTGTGAGTTAGCCAAGTCTTGACTTAAATCAGAGATTGATTCAGGGTTCGATTTTTAAGTTAGCCCTGCACTAACTTTTATCAGCACGCAGGGCAGTTTTAGGGTTCGATCTGTGAGTTAACTATATGCCCTGACTCAGATAAGCCGAGAAGTTGTTTCTGGTTCGATCCTTGGGTTAGCCGTGCCTTGACTTAGATCAGCCCAGAGGTCGTTTCAGGGTTCGATCTGTCAGATCTGTTAGATCTGTGGCACAGAAGTTGTCTTATATCAGCCCGGGATTCAATAAATTTAATCTTCTCTCAGGGTGTGGACGAGAGGAGTGTAGGTATCCAAGACTAATAATAACATAAATAATAACTTACGTTCAGTTGGACATGCCTGGGTATTGCATCTGACGACCTCACGTGACTTGCCCTGACATGAACTCCCGCCATTTTGTGGCGGTGGATTGTCACATTTGCGCACACGTGACTGAATGCCTGATCCACATGTCAATGAACACAAAGAAGTACTCCAACTTCCCCAGTTACCATCGATCGCTGAAAATTAAAGAATAAAGAAATTTTGTCTTTCCCTAGTCTTTTCTGTTTCTTCTTAGTTTCGGTCCCAGATCCTCACAGGTCCTCTTCACTAGTGGAGAGGGCCCGCGAGGATCTGGGACCGAAACTAATGACGGTTGTGGCGGAGGAGACTATCCATTGAATCGAAATTTCTTTTACTGGTTCTCTTGTCTTCCTCCTTGGAAAACTAAATTTAAAATCTTAGAGTTAGCCGTGCTTTGACATCGATCAGCCCAGGACCAGAGCTTGTTTCAAAGTATCAATAACATTTCAAGGCTTATTTTCAAAAACCAACCAACCAAACAAAAAGCACTTTTAGGGTGCATGTGACGTCATAGCTGTCTTGAGATTTGGTCTTAGTTTCTTTTTAATTTCAAACAATATGATGGCCGCATTTTTTGTCTTTTGTCCTTTAGAAAAATGATGCATGACACAAAATATTTGAGATATAACGCGCACTCTGATTGGCTGGCTACCGTATTTATAGCAGAGGACAGAGACATGCACGTGCAAAATCGTTAAAAATATATCATAAAAGCAATTCAAAACGGCTGCTTTTGTCTTCTACGCTTCGTGTTTATAAGCTTGCTTCTCTCGTGTTCTGCCAACCCCTTCGTACTTTATGACTGCACACAGCACTCGTGCACGTTTTCTATTCCTTCAATAAAGAAACCAGTTAATTCATAGATACCGACCTTTCAAGCAGTCCTTTATTTTACAGCTTTCCGAATGTTTATAAATCCCCACGCACTGTTTGCCGCCATTTTGTGGTGCAGGGTTGTTACATTTTCGATTGCGTGTCTTGATTCCTGGACCACATGATGTACTACAGGGGCCGTATAATCCCCAGGAACTCCAGTTACCATCCACCACTGAAAGTCAAGAAAGCAGTTTTCGTATGAATGGGGAACATACGGGTACTGATTATGACCAGTTTTTGTATGACTGTGAAAAGCTTACGGCACGAGCACGATCGTAACACAGTGAGTGATACGCCGCGATTCACATTGCTCGAGAATTTATTCTGTTTTCGATTCAGCTGCAGATAGCATTAGTCCAATATTTTTAGATCTTCATCACTTTGTCCCCCATATAAACAAGCTGTGACGTCATAGTAAAATAGCGCAATAGACCACTTGCATGTGATGTCAAAGGAGCTCAATTTGGAGGACCAAAGAAATAATTTCAATCTCTTGAGAATAGTCCCCTTCACAGAGACCTTTTTTAACAATGTCTCTATCATTGCAAGCTCACCGTTCGTCTCGCTTCGATGCAAAGGCACGGCTACCTTTCAAGATGGCGCAGGGAACTGTGATGGGGACTATTGGAAACTTGCTATGTCCTCCAAATTGAGCTGCATTCCGACGTGCTGCAAGGGATCTATTTATTTTTCTTCGAAGTGTTCTGCGTAAGTGGGAACGTACCTATGATACAAGACTGGGTGTTGCACGACATAGTTTGTTTTGATATCCCCACACATGCCCTTCCTCCATTTTTTGGTGCTGGGTTGTTACATGTTCGATATCTTGCTTGGGTGCCTCCACCACAGCTCTGAGAGCAGGTAGAAGGTGCTCCCCAACTTCCCCACTTACCATTGACCACTGAAATGATAACGTTGATTAATTAACAGATATAACAGCTTTTTCCGTGTTACGTCCAGTAATTGTCGTGTTAAAATCAGCGGATAAAAGTCTTTTTTCCCTTGGAGGAGATTTTACAGTGCAACTACTATAACCGGGGCCACTTAGACAGCGACAACCAATCAGATTGTAGAATAGAAACAATACATTCCGACTTTGGTTAGTGGAGCCAATCAGAAATCAGCAGGAAACGATAGCCTTTCAACATATCCATGAGAAAATGACGATCGCTATGTAGTTTTTTACGCGAAACACCAGGGTCAAATTACACTTCTCGTGTAGTCTAGGTTTCCGATTTGATTGGCTCCACTACCCAAAGTTGGAGGGAGCAAAACCCTCGAACCGCATGCCCTGTGACATCGCGGCTTTATTTACCTTGAACACGTTGACACTGTCCGCAAGATTTGGGACAATACGGTAGCATGTACCGGGGATTTTTATTGCATTGCCCACTACGAGCCCAACTGACACAGTTTCTATGACGGTCCATGCAAGTTGACTGGGGCACTGTTGGTCTACCTGTGGCAAAAAAAAAAAAAAAAAAAAAAA